TACCCTTTAGGGCTAAGCCCCAGGTGTATCAAATGCCTGCCTCCGCCTCTGGTTCCCACCAGTTGAGCATTGCCTGGCACATCTGACATACTGTTTTACTTTTGTCCATGATGTGTTTACCATCAGGGTCATGCTTCACATGAAAACCAAGATAGTTCCAAACGCCAGATCTGAATGAGGGTGGGGGAGGTTCAATTTCGGGTAGCGTTGAGGAAGTTGCCATGTTGCAACGAGCTTAGCTTCTGTCTTGCTAGCTTGCGCTATGCTCAGTCGATCTGCACTCGACAGTGCAGCCTAGGCGGAGTAGTCGAACGCAGATCCACTGAGCGCTCAACACAGACAGCATCGTCAGAAGAAAAGTTGATAAAATAAATAAAACATTTTGTATTGTTCGATACATATGCACACCGAACCGAAAGCACTGTATCGAACGGTTCAATATGGATATGTGCACCTCTAATATATATTAGGGGTGCATAATTTCATATATTTGGTTCAAAATGAGCCAGATGTTTTCAGCTGGTGAAAGGTCTGGACTGCAGGCAGGCCCATCAGCACTCTGACACTTTTACTATGAAGCCATGCTGTCTCCCATCCAGACAGAAGATGCTGTCTGGATGCATATGTTGCTCCAAACCTGTATGTACCTTTCAGCACTGATGGTGCTTTTCCTGATGTGCATTAATGCCATTTCCTCTGGCACTAATCCACATCCAGACTATCACTGCAGGATTTTGAACTGACTCTTGATAACAAACCCAAAGCTCTCACTCCTTTTGTTTTTTAGGCCAGATGATACAATGATAGAGTTTTAACCCAGATTTGTGGATTTCTCAACATGCTCCTGAGCCCATGCAGTGATTCATGACAGAATCATCACAGTTTATAATGCAGTGCTGCCTGAGGGCCTGAAAATCACGGGCATCCAATATTGATTTTCAGCCTTGTTCCTTGCACACAGAGATTTCTCCCAATTTTCTGACTCCGTCGATGATATTACGCTCTGCACATGACGAGATATTCAAAGTCTTCACATTATTTCCTCCTTAATGTGAGGAAATAATGTTCCTCACATTAAGGAACATTATTTCTAAATTCTTCCACAAACATTTGGCTTAAACCTCTGCCCATCTTTACTACAAAATCTGCCTCTCAAAGACTCTTTTTATGCCGAATGACATTAATGACCTGTTGCTAAGTAACCTAATTAGTTGCAGTGTGGCTCCATAGTCCTTTACGTAGTTGTTAGGCAAGCAAAAGGTTGCTGACCTGGTTCCAGTCAGAGATATAATTCCCTTTTGGCTTGAGTCAGGAAGGACATCCAGTGTAAAACACTTTGTGATAAGGGAGCGGCTCAAGAGTAGTTAGATGCAGACTGATCCTCCAGCTGTTTCTTTTTAGTAACGCATTTCCCCCCCCATCCCAATTAGGGCATCAAATTCAAGTAAGCTGAAAATTGTCACACACTAGTAAAATGTCAAAGTTTACATATTTATATGTTTTCTGTGTTCTATTATAGATAAAGTGTAGGTTAATGAGATGTGCAAATCATTACATTCTGTTTCTATTTACGTTTTACACAGCGTGCCAACTTAAGCTAACATAAGAGTGCTTTTGATTGCATCCACGTTTGTATTAAATAGCCTACAGCTAAAATTTGTTTGGTCCGCGGTGTACTCGGGTTATAAAGCCACAGTCCAGCAATCTTATCATTCAGTATTTGTACTGTAATTATATACTTTGTAGTATATAATTTACTGTTGCTGGTCGCAGTTTTTGTCATATGAAAGAGCAGGAAGGCATACACTTTGCTCAGCATTAGATGACATAAAGCTGGGATATTTAATATTTAAGCACTTTGCATGTCTGTAAACTGACGAGTTTACACCGAGACTGATGACATGACACTCATGACACATCTTGTATTGATGTTCGAAACATGAGTATTAACAGGTTCTTCAAAGCAAAGTCACTGCTGCTGATTAAATGTGGTTCAAAATCACATTAATGCACTTTGCATGTGCTCATAACATGTTGTTATATCCGCTTGTGAGTTTGGACTCTGTTGATGCACGGCTATACTCTGATGCAGTCCTTCTTCTGTGAGAGTCGTAATGTTTGCTGTTGTTGAGACTGGTTCTGGGAGTTTGATGAACAACCTTTTGGTTACGAACATCTGACCTCCACATAATACAAGCCCCCCCCCGCCCCAAAAAGAACTTTGTGCAGTCTACAGCAATATGCAGTGTAAATACAAAACAAAACAAATACATTAGTATTTTGGAGATTCATGGGTTCTCTTATGGAAACTCTCCTGATGATAAAAAACAGAAAACAAAGCGGAAAAAAATTCCACTGCTGATTCATAATGATGATGTTCGGTTCTCAGTGTACATTTAACTAAGATGTGCTTAGCTAAGAGTAATTGAGTTTTCTCAAGAGATTAACCGGTAAATAATTAACACCAAGGGAGTGAGTGTGAATGGCTGACTAAAAGATTTTAAGTGCTGAATCACTTGAACGTTTTCTTTCTGGTGCATTTGGTCACCTGTTACTTTATTGCCCTTTAGCTAAGCTTATCATGAGACAATAAAAACAAACAAATAATACCCAGGTCAGATTGCTAATCCATTGCAGAGTTATGTGCTGTGGTTAGTATGAGTAGTGACTTGCAGGTGTTCGTGTGTTGATGGGCAGCATGTTGAACTGCTCTGTGACGCATGGATAGCTGGAAAATGCGTACCTTCGTGCTCTCGCAGCTTCTAATGGTCAGATTAAATTGACCTTGAGACTGATCAGCAACATTTGTTTATGTGTGATGAATGTGTTTGTTTATCAGTGTGCGCATGTATAAAACACAATGAGAACTGTGAGGAGTAGAGCTCTTCAAGCTCACATACCAGCCTTTTGTTATAAAGAGAAGGAGAAGTACGTCGCCATGCAGAGGATGATACCATGTCAAAGGTCCTCACTGTAGAAGCGATTTTGTTTGGGGTCTTGGTGTTTTCTGGTATTTTGGGAAACATCCTGGTCATCTATGTGGTGAGAAAGCACACAGTATTTGGAGTGTGAAGTGGGCTGAATGTTTTGGTTTGAGTTGTTCTCAGTCTGTCTCGTTTTGCTATCAGGTGTTTCAGTCAGTCACTAAGACTCCACCTCGGAGACTCCCTCCTTCGGACCTTATTCTGGTGCACCTGTCCCTAGCAAACCTGCTGAGCTCACTTTTCCGCACAGTGCCTATTTTTGTGTCAGACCTGGGCTTGGATCTGTATTTGTCCTCCGGATGGTGCAGAGTCTTCATGCTGCTGTGGGTGTGGTGGCGAGCCGTGGGATGTTGGGTGACCCTGACGCTGAGTGCTTTTCAGTGCACCACACTGAGACGCCAAAATGTGGCCTTTGGACCTCTTACTGTCCAGAGGGAGAGGCGGCGGCTCTGGGTTGTCCTGGGGGTGGTGTGGGGGGCGAACCTGGCTTTCTCTGTCCCTGCACTGGTATACAGCACTCATGTTAAAGGCAATGCCACAGTGGAGCTGATGGTGATCAGTTCCACCACCAGGCCTCTGCTAGGCTGCGTCTGGGAGTTTCCATCAGAAGAACAAGGCACGGTGTTCGCCTCTACTTCGCTGGCAGTGAACGAGGTGTTGCCGCTGGTGCTGATGGTTTGCACCAATGTTGCCACACTGCACGCTTTGGCCAAGCACATCCGAGCTGTTGCCTCAGGAGGGACCCACACCGAACTCGACAAACATCTGTCTAGCGAACGTAAGGCAGCTCAAGTAATCATGTCTCTGGTGTTGCTGTTTGTTGTCTGCTGGGTGCTACAGGTTGCTGCAGTAACGTACTACAACCACAACAGGGGGCACCATGCTGAAGGGCTGCTGACTGTTTCCCATTTTTCTTCTTCACTGTTTGTGGGATTCAGCCCCTTGGTGGTGGCCCTGGGACATGGAAAACTGAGGAGAAAAATCCTGAGTATGATGCTAGGGTGAGCTACAATTCTTAAATGTCACAGTAAGGGTGCCGAAAAGCAGACTAAATCCCCAACGGCTACAGGAAAGAAAAAAACAGTTTTTGTTGTTCAAAGAGAGATGAAGGTCATAAAAGTGCAAGAGAAGATTAAATAAAAATAAATTCTGAACAAGAGCACTCAGAGAAGAGCAAGGACTATACTAAAACTCTCATGTTTTATTATGTTTTTATTACAACACATTGAGGTGTGACCTTTGACTCATGACCTTAAAGCATTACATACTAAAATGGTGTCTTTATTTTATTGTCTTTACTCATATGTTTGGAGCAGAGTCGAATGAAATCTTTGGCTCCTATAAACGGTTAAATTTGGGATTTTCACATATATTCATGCGGTGTGGGATTTTGCAAAACTTTCTAGCGTCTTTGTGACATTAAATAAATAAAAAGAATGTTGTACAGCTCTCTTCAAGACCTTTCTATTTAAACTATTACTCAATATGGTTTTTTAATCATTTTTTAAGGTCATCTTTTATCTCAGGTGCTAACAATGAAGGTTGAGGTCGACTGCCAACCTAGATACTCATGTCCCTCAAGGTCTAGGATGTTGTTTTGGGGCAATATTAATTTTCAATTTCACATTTGGTGTCACCTTGACATTGACCAAATTTTCATGAACTGAAGCGCAACATATTACAACATAGAAACATCCTCAATCAAAAATACACCAAAACTGTTCTTTGGAAACCTCTTCTTGGCTACAAACATACGTTTCTGAAGGTTAGCCTTGTGTTTTCCCACTCATTTAAAATTAGTGAGACAAAAAACATCACCAGAAGCCATAATGGTAATTAATGATGTTATACTGAACCAAAAACAAAATGCTTCAGCCACTGCCGTGGTACTTTTTTTCTTTCCTTTGGACCCTTTTGTCTATAATGAATACAAAAAAATAAAAAAAATAAAAAAACAATAGATCATGATTAGTGATGGCATATTAGGTGCATCTCCAGAGCTTTTGCAGAGTACCATCAGTGCACGAGTGTGGACTTGATACAAGAACGAAGCTGCCGGTGGCCGACCGCCAGAATGACAGGTGACAAGGCAATGAAGATGATGTTGGCAAAACGAGCAATGACCATCAGATAATTGGCTGAGGAGCCACGGTTGTAGTTGAAGTAGTTGACAGAGATAACACTGGTCCCCCATGAGAGGATGAAGAGTAGTATGAGGGTGAGAATCACCTGGGAAAAAAAAGCACACAATTAAAAAGAAAGCCCTTTCAGAGTTCAAGACTTTGCTGAATTTGCTGTAGTGATTTACTCTTAAACACATCCAGTCACATAGCTCATATCTAAAAAGACTGATTTACAGCTGAGCTCATCACTCTATGCAAATACAGCAAACTGAAACAAAGAGTGATGACTCAGAAGAGACTGCAAGTGGTTGCTGGAGTGATTGAAACAGGAGGCAGGGCTGCAGTGGCACTCATATGTCACAGGGAGATATGAGAGAATTTGCACCTGAAACAAACCAGCACATTGGGAGGATGCGTTTGATGACAGTGTGAATGTGCAGCTGTCCCTTCTTAAGCTGATGTCCTTTTCTTTGAGGCAATGCATTTACATTTTTTAAAAGCAACTTATTACATTTTACATTCATTTACACAGCTCGCTGACTCCTTCATCTACCTCCAGTGCCCCCTTCTTCCTCACCTTGGCTGCTCGTTTCTCGGCTGGCACCCGCTTTAATACCGGTGCGTCTTTCTGTGGATTCCGACCATGGGTGTAGAGGGTGTAAAGCGAGGTTAGGTTTGTAATGGCCATCAAGATTAAAGGAATCATTTCATGTATCACCAAAGATGTGGTGGCGTAGGCCAGGCCAATGGTGGAGGGAAAGTTCCACACACAGCCCAGCAGAGGGCGTGTTGTGCTGCTCACCAGCATCAATGTCTGAGGAAAGAGCAGGGAGAGCAGAGGGTGGGTCATGTGCTCAGCCAGCAAGTCAGAGAGATTATTATTTTTCTAGATCATTGATAGATTTTGGCACTCAAAGCCGATAAGCCAAGAATCTGTGAACTCGTAATACATTCTTAATTTTTTAAAATAGAGTTGAGAGAAACAAAATAGAGAAAAAGTAAATCAAGCAAATGCTTATGGCAAAACCAATGGGACAAAACATATGCAGTACTGCAATACACAGTAATACTAGAATTACTGTAGTAGTTAAAATAATACCAAATGGTCTAGTCTGAGTTTAATGATGATTATGGTTGCTGATAATGTTTTAGATGACCTCATTTTGGTTCTTGTCTCTTTTAAAATATGTAATTATTATTATGGCCCTGATGAAATCAGAGGGGTTGGAAGAACAACACATACACTATACTAGGTACACCTTATTAGAAGTCACTCAGAGACTGTGGTCCACATTGAGATGGTAACATCACACAGTTGATGCAGATTTGTCAGCTGCACATGTGGCATTTAAAGATGCTCAGCTGATACTACAATGCCAAGGATGTGCCAAGAAATTATCCCTCACTCAGTTACACCACCATCAGCCTGACCCATGGATACAAAACAGGGTGGATCCATTTTTACATGTTATTTAAACTAACTTCTGACCCTGTCATCTGAATTCTGCAGCAGAAGTCAAAATTCATCAGATCAGTCAACATTTTTCCAATCACGTATTGTCCAATTTTGATGAGCCAGCGTTAACTGTACCCTCAGTTTCCAGTTGCTGCTGACAGTGTTGTCAGTGTTCTGCTGCTGTAGCTCATTGGCTTCAAGGTTTGACGTGTTGCCCAAAATTCTCTTCTGCATATCTCAGGTTTAACAAGTGGTTATCAAAAAAAGTCCTTTTTACAGAGAGAATTGCCGCTCACTCGGTATTTTCCTCTGTTAATTCTAGACTTGGTTTTGAAGGAAAGGCCCAGCAGATAAGCAGTTTCTGAAATACTCAGAGGAGCCCACACAACAATCATCCCCATGCTGATGCTTAGTTTAAACTTCAGAGGTCATCTGGACCTCATGTCAATGCCAAAATGATTGAAGTTGCCTATTAGATATTTGTTAATGACAAGTTAAACAGATGTACCTACTAAAATGGCAGATCTGTGTCTATGTAAAGATCTATATGACTGTTAAAATGTGAAATGCATTTATTCATTCTTTTTTTTGTAATTAAATGATAAATACAGTGTCAAAGATTTGATAACCATATGAGTATCATCAGTACATACAAAACTATTGCATTAGTTTTGAATACAAGCTAAGTATTTTTTACTAATTGTGTAATGTAATGTTTCAGACAGTCATTGTTATACGTGTCACTTTATGTGATAGAATAACAACAGGGAAAACATTGATTGATAAAATAATTTGAAAAATTACTATTCATGATGACAAATAAAAAGAAATAGACTACTTGGAAGGTCCTTGGCAGTGCCCCTCTCACCTCTGTAGTGTTCTTGTTCCCATTAGAGGAAAATATATGAGCTGGAATCGAGTAAATAAGGTTACCAATCCAGATGAGGCCCAGGCACATCAGGAGGGTCTTAGGAGCACCCCGGGGCCCATTTGTAGCACCAGGAGCCACACGCTTCAACGTCTGGAGGTGGAACGCACTGAGGAAAAGTGTTGACCACGCATTGACTGACCGCAGCCACACCGACATTCCCATTAGCAACTGACAAAACCCTTTGGCTGTATATATCTGTAACAACATAAGAGGGGCTTAAAGGTGTAAGCGCAAGGGGCTCACAAGTTAAATCTAGATTTAATTTGGTTAATTTGATCTTTCATGCATGTTTTCTGTGTAAAACACATCATTCGGTGAAACACAACCAACATAGAGTATTGAAAAAAAAAAAGAAAGACTATGAAATGAGTGAAGAGTGAATTATGGACAATGACAATACCTGCAGTCCAAACTCTGAGATGATAAGGAGTGTGTTCCTCAGTAGTGATACCAGCAAGTTAGACATTGCCATGTTAACGATGATGATGTCAGAGTTACGTCCCCAGTTATGCTCCAAGATTATGCTCTTACCAATGACCAGAATCACAGTGGTATTGCCCAGAATTCCCATTATCACCAGGATAATGTAAAAGGCAGTTTGTGCAGGGGAAACAAAGATATGCATTCTCATCCCTGCAAGATCTTTTCTTTGGTCCGAGAGGCTGCTCATTGTTCCACAAATAAATAGACCAAGCTGTAAAGGAGTTTTAACAGCTCACGAAAAGTTCTGAAGAAATTTTCATCGTTGATTTGAATGAATATCAAGTGAAGATATATTAGTTATTATCCTCGAACAAGCTAGTAAGACGCTGGACTGTAGTTAACTGGCCTTTTGGTTGATTTTTTCAGTTTGAAGATGGAATCACCTGCGTTACTCCTCCATGGACTTACTGGAATAAAATGATCTCGCCTGTATCATTGGAGCTGTGCTCTTGTAACACAACCACTGTTCAGGCCACAGAACATTACAAAGCATCCACGATACTCGAGTCCTCGGAGAGCATGAGGTGTATATTAATGAAACACAGGAGATTAATCTACTTCCTTGCATAAACATGCTTCCCTTGCAAGTTTGCTACCATCATCCTAAGGGAAGTGAAGGCTGTTTAGCGTGTGGTCATGAAACCTACTAACAGATATTCCTAAAGAAAATCAATACTTTGCACCTTTGTTAGAATAAGTAACTTAGTGGGAATTCCTCTCTCCTTATTCAGGACACGTTGCAGTGTTCACCAGTAGAAATTTTACAGTTTCTTGGCACTCTAGGCAAAAATGCACAGAGGGTTTCTCCATTTATGTTATAAGGTTACGTTATAATGTATTTGATTCAAATCCAGGCCAAAGACTTTCTGCATGGTCTCTCTCCGCGTGCACCAGCTTTCTATTAAGGTCCAAGACAAGGCAGACATATTAGGTTAATTGGTGGTTCTAAATTGGGCCTACTTGTGAATATGAGTCGGCCTCTGTGTTAATCATGTAATGAATTGGCGACCTGTCAAGGATGTACCCCGCCTCTCACCCTGTGACAGCTGAGATAGACTCCAGCCCCATATCACTGAATTGGATTAGCAATTAAGGAAAGATAGATGGAGTATTTTTATCACCAACTGAGCGAGGCTTCCTTCTTATTTGTGTCATTAATGCTAGCAGCACCCGGCAGGGGGTATACTCATCTTTTTAAATTAGATGACAGAGTTAGCGTAACTGTAAGACAAGAAAAAAGAAAAAGTTTCTGAAATGTGAGATGTGCAACGACAAAATGCATTCTGCATTGCATTGAGGGATCAAATCAGTGCTCCAGTTAACATCTTTATCCCCTTTGTGAACGCATGAGTTACTTATTTATGAAGCAGAACATCACTTCTACTCATCCTAAATGAGTGCATTATGACAAGAGAACAGGAAGTTTCCCCATTTACTTAGTTTTCAGTATCTCAGTATCTGTAGGGCTGCGTCAGGAAGGTCATCTGGCATAAAGACTGAGCGGGTGAAAGTAGCCTCTTGATTACAGCTAATGACCACTAGATGGCGCCTTAAACAAACCAAATACAACACACAGGACAAAACAGCATAGTTTCTATTTATTTAATTCATTTTTTAAACAAATGTTTATTTACTCTGTACAGCATTAGTTAGTAGACAAAACTGTAAGTAAATTTAGTAGCGTTACATACAATGTCAGCACATTCAAAAAAAAAAAAAATTCACAGTAGCCTATATATGTCTGATCAGCACCTTTGGAGGCTAAAAATACAACTATCATCTTCATAATTTACAAGTATCAAATTTAATCCCATCAGCTTTAAAAACATTTTTATATACACATCACTTATGATAACGTGGAGACACATTCAACTGTGAGATGAGTGTGTCCATCAGAGAAAGGAAAATATAAAATATTGACTGTATATCGTCTGTTCGGTAACACTTTCTGACTCATTCATGATCAGAACATGTTGAACTGGTTTGATATAATAAACCATGTAACTAAAGAAAGATGATGAAAAATGCTCTGACACATCTAATGTGTGTGTGTGTGTTTTTTTTTTGTTTTTTTTAAATGAAATCCTAAAATGAACGGGTGATTTTGCCAAACAAAGCTACAGCCCTGTTAAAGTAACGAAACTAAACAGTTTCTGATCATCTGCCAGAGAAAGTTTTCACGGATTACAAAATTTCAGCTGAGATCACAATCCTCTACCTTTTATTCAAAATTTCTCAAACTTTATTAGAATGATTTAATATTGGTTTAAAAAAAAAAAAATCCAAGTGCATTTGTAAATGTAGCCATAATTAAATGGTAAAATAACGCAGTAAAGTGGTTTCAAGTTTTAGCTGAGCTGTGTAAAGACTTTCACAGAAGCTCCAGTCTTGTTACCGACCTGAATTGATGCCTGCATCTTGAGTAAGGAAGAGAAAACAAAATGCATCTCAGCCTGATTATCAGGGTACTGTAGTTCAGCTGCTCAGGTCACAGATGAATGGGGCACTTAAGTTCTTCATTTCACTGCAAGCATGCTTTCACTGGCGACTTCTCCAGCTGATCATAAAAACAGATCTTGCTCCAGGCACTGTAACCAAATCCCCATTCAGATTCTACTTAAAAATAACCCAAAAAGTAACTAATTTACAAACAGAAGACTAAAATTGTTGAATATACTTTTAAGAAAAACAAGAGCTTATTTCAAATGAACAAAAGTGCACTCACTTCACTAACTATCATACTAGCTCTCAATGCTGTCGACAGTTGTGGTCAGAAGTTTACATTCACTCACTGTGGGCATGAATGCCGTGGTAGTTTTGAGCTTTGAACGATTTCTTTTAACTGCTCTTTCTCCAGGGTGGAGTGATTGTACAGCATTCATCTTTAATGACTTGACAGAACAAGAACTGGATGCTCAAGTTTGAATTTATTTAGGTTTTTCTCTAATCTGCACAGGGTCAGAAATATACATACAGATGAGTTTCTCTTCATCAGTATAAAAAGGATTGTTTGACAGCAGTCATTGGATTGACCAATACTCAGAACAATGGCAAAGACCAAGGAACTCTAAGGAGAACTGTAGATTTACAGAAGTTAGGAGGGCCTCTTGGAGCCATTTCCAAACAAATGCAGATTCCAAGATCACAAGCTCAAAAAGTTGTGCATAAGTACAAGTTATTCAGATGTGTCTCCACTTTGGGTCATCTTTCAGACGTTGGCAACCTGTCACTCTCAGAAGAGAGTAAACATGTAATGACACTGAATCTGCTGAAACATCAGCATCACTGTCCACAGGGAAACTCGTTTTACATCACCATGGACTGAGCAGTGCCAACAAAGGAAAAAAATGGAAAATTTGTAGCTTCTGATGGTTAAACGAGACAAAGTTTGAGCTATTTGGCCACAATGACAAGAGGTAAGTTTGAAGAAGTAAAGGTGAAGCTTTCAAGTATGTTGGTGGTAACATCATGCTCTGGGATGTTTTGATAGCAGTGGTACTGCAACATTACACAATGTGGATGGAATAATCAAGAAAGACAACTACCCTAAATTCACCTCCAATCAGTAGTTGGAGAGATGAAACTTGCTGTTTCAAGAGAACAATGATCCCAAACACACATTGAAAGTGGTTGTCGTTGTTTATTTTCAAGTTTCAACTTGGGTAGAAAAACAACAGAATATGAGTGAGGGTGTATGTATACTTTTGACCCTGTGTGGATTAAAGAAAATCCAAAATAATTTCAAGCTTGTGCACTCAGTTCTTGACTTTTTAAAGCCATTAAAAGGTGTATTGTGTTTAATCATTCCACCCTGGAAAAAGAACAGTTCATAGAAATGATTAAAAGTCCTAAATGAACATGACATGTATGTAAACATCTGAGCACAACTGTATGCGAGTGTGTGTACGTGAATGTATCTGTGACTGATACCTCTGACTGATATGGATAAACTCATGTGGCATGTCTGTGTAGGTTCTCAGTCAGCATGGTCATAGTAATCTGAGGAGCTTGGAAAGGAAAGCAACTACAACTTAAAGGAGTCCATTTGCTTTCTTTTCTTTTTCAGTAACGAGTAATCTAATTACTATTCCTATCGTTACAACGCCGTTACAGTTACTAACAAGAAAATGCGGTCCGTTACTATTTTTCAACAAACAGGCAGTTGAAGCTGTGTTCAGCTTACCGCATTTTATATCAGTTGCCGAAAGTAGCTGTAAGTAATCTGGACGCTACAGCTTTAAGCAGCTGCGCGCGCTCCCGCGGACGATAATCACGATCACTGTCTACAACACCTGCAAGAGTGCTGCTGTTTGACTGAGGAAGAATAAAGTAGTCGTGGTAAGCCAATCACATGACCACTTAAAGACAAAGCAACAAGGTGATATATACCAGTTTAGTTTGTAAATTGTGTTGATAGGCCACGCAAAACCAGAGTCACGATAAACAATATATACGCGGCGTTTTTTCCTCAATAGTTTCATCACGTTTACTGTCTAAGGACAGCGCTAGCAAGCGCTCTCTGCTTATGCAGACATAAGCAGAGAGTAACAAAAAAACAAAACAAAACCGGGAAGTTTCAGGAGTGACGGCGAGAGAGAGAGAGAGGGGGAGAGAGAGAGTTTTGAGATGTGAGAGATTTGTGACGTTTAGCGTGTTTGGAGTGTGTAGTTAATGTGTTGTCTTGTGTAGTGTTGTGGATAGTTTTGTGTTGTGTGTCAGAACAATGAGGCGACTGCTGTCCCCAGGTAAAAAAAAGGAGTGATACACCTGCTGCTGTCAGGCCTGCAGGTATCAGGCTGTGATGTTCTCCTTTATAGTGGACAGAAATTATTGTTTTGGAGTGGCACAAATAATTTGTGTGGCATCTTATTGAATGCAGAACAGCTGATTGTTCTGTAAATAGTTTGAAATGGTTATTTTTTAAAAATCAAGGTAAAAAGTAAATGGGTGCAAATAACTTTGTTGTTTGCAAAACTTGTGCATAGGATTTTAAAATTGACAATTTATATTTGCATTTAAAGTTCTGAAATATGATTCATTAAACATGTTTGTGGTTGTTACAGTACAAATATAACTTTTTCTACTCTGATTTTATGTTTTTTGTCTGATTTTAGATCAATTGTGTTAATACAGTATGTCAAAATGAAAACAGGACTGCAAATTTAGACACGTGAGGTTGTGCTGAAA